AGTCGGTCTTTTTAAAAATTATTAATATTTTTGGAATCACTTGATTTTTTTTTTTTTATTAAATTTGAATAACATACCTCTTTTAATTTAGAGGGAATATACATCAATATACAAAAAGAAACTATAAACCGACCAAGAAAAAAAAAAAACTGAAAGAAAAAGATATCGATGCTGCAGATGATGGCACGTGTCCTTATTGTGATGTGATCTGATCCAAACCTATTTATATTCTTCGCCTCTTTTCTGTCTGAATCGCTTCTCTCGATCTCTCTATACGCCTCCTCACCGATCTCTGCCAGACTCCGGCTTACCGCCTCCGTCAAAACCTAGGTGAGCGTAAGTAGCTTCGACTTGGGGTTTCTTTTGTTGGCGTTTGTTGGGTAAAATTGCCCTAAAATGTTGATTCTGATCTAATCAGATTCCCGGAGAGTCAATTTCGTTTTTTTTTTTTCGCCGGAATTAAATTAAGGAGAATTAAGGAGCTGAGGAAGATGGCTACAACGACGACAACGAGCGGTGTGTATATCAATGTCATCGAGGACGTCGTCAACAAAGTCCGCGAGGAGTTTATTAACAACGGAGGTCCCGGCGAGAGTGTTCTCACCGAGCTTCAAGGAGTAAGTTTTGTCTTCATTTCGCCGGAAAAAGATTGAAATTTGATATTTTTAGTGGAATCGATGTAGAGGGTGGCTGGGATTTGTTCGGCTATAGCTAGGGTTTCTGGGGAAGTTGGATTTTTGGAGATTAATTCGACGAATTCTGCTGTGTTTTTTTTCCCCGGGTAGATTTGGGAAGTGAAGATGATGCAAGCTGGAGTCTTGTCTGGACCAATAGAGAGGTCATCGGCTCAGAAGGCAACACCGGGAGGTCCACTGACGCATGATTTGAATGTTCCTTATGAAGGTACAGAGGAGTACGAGACTCCCACAGCTGAAATGCTCTTCCCTCCGGTGAGTAAACTTACGCTAGACTCGAATCTTTGATTGAGAATTGAAAAACAGGACTCGGTGTATCAATTGGCTTCTTTTCCACTTGAGATGTTGCTGTAAAACTTTTTTGTCTTGACCATGGTTTTGATTTTTGGTGTTGAGCAGACACCATTGCAGACTCCCCTTCCAACGCCGCTTCCGGGTACTGCTGATAACTCCTCCATGTATAGCATCCCTACTGGCTCAAGTGATTATCCAACCCCTGGAACTGAGAATGGAAACAACGTTGATGTTAAAGGAAGACCCAGTCCTTATATGGTGAGTTATACTCATTAAAAATGCTCTGAAGCTGAGAATGGATTTCATACAGGCTAAACAGAAACTTGACTTTGTTTCTGTTTTTTTTTGTTGGTTTACGTAATCTTAGAATGTGCTCTTTATTGCAGCAACCACCTTCTCCATGGACAAATCCAAGGCTTGATGTCAATGTTGGTAAGTACTAGTTTTGCCAGCACTTAATGTCTCAGTTTGTTGTTTGGGATATAAATGTCTGACTTCCTGCTAGCTTATGTGGATGGCCGTGATGAGCCTGAGAGAAGAAGTGCTAATCAGCAGTTTACTCAGGTACTTCCACTTAACATCTAAATTGAAAACCTTCAGTTTGGGTTCAAATCTTCTTTGCAATAGTTACGTGATTGATTTGATTAGTGTTCTTTTCAAGTACTTCCTCATTGTACAGATCTCAAGTATTATATACCTTAACTATGGAACTTATCATCATTAATTGGAATATGTCCAGGACTTATTTGTTCCATCCTCCGGGAAACGAAAGCGTGATGATTCTTCTGCACAATATCAAAATGGTGGGTCTATACCACAACATGATGGTGCAAGCGATACTATGCCTAAGGTGTGTGTAGAACTACACATTTGTATATGCATAATGCATTTGGAATAAGCTCAGATAAGTAAAACAAGGTGTCCTTAGGTCTCTTCATTTCTTATCTAAAAAGCTAGTAACGGAGAAGGCTCTCTTCGGTTTCCACTTCACCTACGGATGCCAACCAAAAGGAAATACTGGATAACAAAATTGGTTAAGTTGCATTTAAATTAAAATCCATCCATAAATCTTTAGAGTAAAATCCATCTATAAATACAGGATAACAAAAGGCTTCTCTTTGGGTCTCAATGTATTAAGACTTT